AGAGCTTTGAACATTGTGAAATATGAATCTTTAAATTTTGTTGCATTCAGTCTATGAATGTATCGATAAGTTTAATATAATAATCTCCGATTTACATCCTAGTACCCGCACTCTGTCCAAAGCCCGCAAAACCCGCGGAAATCTCGGAGGATGGGCTCCGACTCCCGACATGAGACAATATATGATTCATCGACTTGTACGACCGGGGAGCCTCATATGATCTACGGAGTACAAATACTTTAAATGGAGCAGAGTCCGGCCTTTGCCAAAACCCGATGAGGAATTGGGGCTATATAAAGAGTCTTTAGTCGGGAGGACGAAATGACCCCATTAAGTCAAATCAACTCATAGGAACTTAGCCATATATTGGACAATTCATCAATTTGTTTGAAACATGTATATCAAATGACTCCATAGTATTGAGTTGAACAGCAGAACAGCAGAACAGCAGAACAGTATTGCCAGCGCCAGCGCCGAGCGAAATAGAATATGGTATCTGACAGGCTAACGGCGCATACAAAATGAAAAGAGAAAAAAAAAAGAGATCAAACCAGGCCATCATTCTCGTCTCCGATGCCCTCATTCTTTCTGAGGAACGGTTTGAGCCTGTTGTACAAAGCTTGCCTTGCCTGTCACTTCGTTGTAAATATTATATCCATAGTCGGCAGCATTAGGCGGGGTATATACTAGAAACACTCATCAGTACTCAATTGCACTTCAATCTTGTAGTCCAACACTAACAGTGAAGAGAAACAGCAACTTGGTCACTACTCGGGTTATGAACGCGATGTAGACCGATATCATCCGAGATATAAGCGACGTCATTCATGGTATGTCTCGTATCAGACTTGATTTCCAACGGACCACCAAGATCAGCGTCCTGATCGGGAACGTTGTAGATAGTCTCTTGTAGCGTGCCAGCTAAGACCTTCATGATGCAGTGTGCATTGGCGTGGTCGTGGACGGGAGAACCTTTCCCGGGGTTCCAGACGAGGAGGAGCTGGATATGGGTTAATATCTAATTCTTGAGATCCAATATTGACAGGATATAGATAAGATTGTGAATAGAACTCACGATATTTGCTTTTTGGTTAATGTTTTCGATGGCATTGCGGGTGTAATTCTTGCTGGTGTCGTTGAAATAAAATCGGGCCCAGTCGTTCGGATCAGAGATATACTTTTGCGCCAGCGAGATCAGGTATTCGTTGTCCACGTCTACTGACGAGATACCACCACTCTTGCCTAGGTAGACCTTGATATCTTGTACAAGATCATCTAGGCTGTACTGGGGTTTGTAGTGCTTGTTTCCTAGTGATAGGCTGGTGCCAAGCGGGATTAAGGGAAGAACAGCGGGCATTGTGGATGGAAGTTTTGAAGATGTTGGAAAGAAATATTCTTAGAAGATAATGGGCACTAATGAAGAGGATTCACGGATGAGTTATATCTCTGGAAGCAATTGGTATCTGTTTCCCCCTGAATTCCTCCGTGCGATCTCAATTATAAAAGGGATCTCAATCGCCGATTGATCCAATACATTGCATTCCAGCGCCCCAGACCGATTACAGTCTCGCCTTGTAGTACCCAGAGGCCTGCACATGTAATTCTAGGTGACGAGTAATATATGTTGAAAAAAAAGGGAGAAGATGTTGAGAAGATGTTGAGAATGCTAGAATGCTAGATCTGTAAAATTCGTATCTATTCGCATTACAACCGTTGGTATCCCCTACAATAATTGAGTAGAACTTGAAACAAGCTACATATGTAGACGCTTTTTTAGACTCGTCTTTCTAGCTTTCAACGAACTTTTTTATCGCTCTCAAATTCTCGAATTCCAATCTAAAAACCGCTTCGGAATGAAATGATCCCAAAGTTGTCAACGCCACCCAAACCCAACGTAAACATGTAGACATGCAGCTGCAGTCCAACCGTCTAGTACTCTCGTATGATTCATGATGTAAGATTAGTCTAACACATATGTGCATACTAATCCGACTTCGTAGATCAATGCATCGGCGAACAATTTGGGCATGTAGCAGATCCCTATGTCATCAACTGCGAATGTCAACACACAGATCGTTATCACGGTTATCAGCGGATATTCGATCAACGCAGATTCAATGAAGGAATAGTCGGTGAGTATTCTGGCCATATCTCCCGAGGTATGATTGTGAGAGTGAAAAGCGCATAGGATTATACTCCGTACTATCGGACTTTTTACTGTAGACCATGAACTGCTTTGGGTACAACACTGGACTCAATTCATACTATTTGCAACATTGATGTTACTTAGTCTTTATCTACCAGGTGTACTTATTTATATTCACAAGAATTGCCCGGTCGTCGCACAAGATGTTGCTATGCGTGGCCTCCCGAATGGAACACCGAGGGACTTCCAACGGACCAATCAAATGTCTTACTGGCGCGGTCGGCGACTCAAAAAAAAGTCCAATCGGCGTTTGACATATCGAAATCCTCGAAGAAATGTTTGGACCCCTATCATTATTACGTATCATTGGCATTTACTTAATTGAGGCCCGATACTTAATCCATAGCTTGCTGAATGAGACCAGCTGATATTTACCCTAGAAACTGTTAGGTAAAAATGACATCGAGCGTAATAAGTTCTTTGTTTTTTTTATTTGAATATATTGAATTACTACATTGGCTCCCGGGTATAACCGATCTAATTCATATCAAAATCAGGAATAGCGCTGAAAAACGAAGCATTGTAACAAGTCGGATCGATAAATGCCGGGGAAAACTCCGGCGGCATGAAATCATGTCCGTCTGGCATAACTGGGACGGGGTTGGCACCGGTGCTGGGTCGGTCTTGGTCATTAGGCGTTGTGGCTGCCGGGGTGAATCGATGTAGTGGTTCTGCGTTCCATTTTTCCATCGAATCTGACAAGACTTCCGCCGCAGAAGATCGAAGAGCATGGTATAGGGACTCGGCTAGTTTCCATGTCCGCTGGGTACTCTTGAGACATCCTAGAATGAGTGTGACACGGTTGCAATGATGGTCAAAACACTCCTCGGAATGACTGGTGGACGTGGCGAGCTGGATGAGTCCGCAGAGAGCCAAGGCGGGGATGATGAAGGGAGTGTGCTTCGAGACGTTTGGACAAACAGATATGGAATCCGATATCCGCCTCGAGGCTTCTGTTGCTTTGATACTATGGACTAGACGGGTAAATGTTGATGAGAGCTGGCCAGTCAGGCCAGGCCAGAAGCGATCGTCTGGTTGTGACTGGGACAATACAGATGGAAGGTCACTTCGGGGTAAGTGGAGGAGCATGGCGGCATAGGCTATTGTCAAATGCGCTTGGAACATCATTTCGTCCACGTTGCCGTATGAATCAACAATGTCGAGCTTTTTGGGCGGTAGGTGGTTGATCCAGCTCACTAGTGCATTTTCGACAGCTTGGAGATGATCGCGGTGACAGTCGCGTAGTCGGTTCAGGACAAGAACCCGGCATAAGATTGTCGTGGCCTCGATACGATAGCTGAAGGATGAAAAGACAGTATCCTCTGCCGCGAGAATCCTCCGCTTGAACTCGATGATCATGCGAGGTTTCGGGATATCACCTCCACAATTATATGCTGACTCTTCGCACGGCAAGGCCACCTCAGGTGGCACAGTGCTACATCGAAATGTCGTGGTTTTGAGCGGGACTGCCATGAAAATATCGGTGACGTATAGTTCCCACCATGTTCGTCGCATGCTTTCGGCTTCAAGAGATCTTTCGGGGGTTGTGGATGAAGCGAATGACCAACGGTTCATGCCAAGCTCCAGAGCAATATCAATGCTATGAGAGAGGGCATCTTGTGCCTCCGCCCATTCATCGCGGGCGTACAGAGCAATGGAATATAGTAGCCAAGCCTGGACCATGGATGCCGATCGATCGGGGTTTGTCTTCAGCTCAGCCACGACTTGTTCCTTATATGGCTGGCTTGGAATAGATGCAATATAATGAGAGCCCACAAAATGCACAGCTAGCTGTAAGAAGTGGGGGTAATTGTGGTCATGATACAAGGAGCTGGGCACCAAGATCGGATGTGCGACATGGAAATTCTCATAGTACAACCGAGGCAGGCGCTCGTCATGGAGTGACACTTTGCTTGCTGGGTCCACAGGTTGCTGAACAGGAGCATTTCCCGCAAGCATCACCGGCCAGGAGACCGGTTCAGTGGGAATATCCAGTCCTGTCTGTCTGCCTGTCTGCGAATCTGGCGGGGTTTGCACAGGAGCTATTGGCAGAACAGGGACCGCAGACTGGTACCGGGTCTAGACTGAATGTTAGTAAATGATTGTGAAGAAGAAGAAGAAAAACTGACATTGACATTGACGGTTTGCGGGTGGCGTTGATATGGACTCTCAACTCGGGATTTCCTGCGTCCGCCCCTTCGAGAGGGTAGATATTGACAGAGAAGTCCATTTTGAACACACCGCGAACATGATGGTTTGCTGGCGTCACATTTTAGATGCTGTTTTCTGCACTCGGTACAAGCCAGTGAGGCTAGACCACTTGTTTTTGTCGATCTTGTGGGAGTCATGCTAAGAAATGGTGGAATGAAGAGTGACGTTTCAATCCCCGGCCTATCGGCGTTTGGCGGGCGGTCGGCCGAGGCATTCCGACAGTTCCAAATCAAAGAAAAACCTATAGATGTATTTGGTTTATTTATTAGACGCTCTTGCACAGTGAATATAGGAATATGGACAGATTGACAGAGACACAGGTATAGGATCGCTTTCAAGGCTCCCCGGGGCTCGAAGCGCTCGCTGAGCACCCGTGGACGGGAATCTCTACAGACAATACGTATACAAACGCCATTTTGAGGTGACTGGATATTCATATCTATTGAAGCATCCAAGCCTGTATGTGTGTGGCTTTTTTAATTTGATAGAATGTCATATTTGGATACTAAAACATGCGAGTACTATGTGTTGTCTCTATGCGTATGGTTACGTATAGTTCAATAGAAGCATCAAGGCTAACAATTCAAATATATCGAAAAATCACTTCCTCTCCTCGCTTTCTTCGCCAATAATTTGTAGACTCAATTAGCTCCGGCACTCCGCACATCACCCACGGCCATTTCTTCAAGAATTCCTCTGTAATCTCCCAACTCTTTGGATCCGAAGGCTCTCCCCATACCAGCAGACCACAACTCTTCGTCGAGATGTCCCAAAATCCCATGATATCGACGCATAATTGACCTTCATCCAGCTTATCACGGGCAGAAATCAGGTTGTCTCGCATTCTGCGAAACGGAAAAAAGTCTAGCCAGGGATGATGGGGGATTTCGTACTGTATCTGCGTCGGCCGTAGACTGACCGGCAGCGTCGTGTCGTCGATTTTCTCTCGTGCACAGATGTTGAATGGAGATATTGTATTCTCCGATCTCCAATCAAGGTGAGGTATTATCCCAAGGGTGGAGAGATTTTGGATAAATGCGCGGTATACATTGAGTTTGGTGAGTATTATTAGGTGGCCCGCTGTAGAGGAGCCTCGCGTATAACTCTGGAATGAAGATTTGCTGAATTGCTCCGAGAGAAATTCGGCTTCCTTAGCTGACAGCCACCTTGCTGGGCGTTGTGTTTGACATCGGGTGTTGGGTGGGGAGACGAGTCGACCTTCGGTAACTTGATCACTTTGGGCAAGCCTTCGTTTTCCTGTCTTCGGGTTAGCTAATTGTCTGGGACTTGTTCATTAAAACGGGTGGAATTGCACATACGATAAGCTCTCTGATTCAACCGATTCTGTAGCTTTCTCCGCAGTTTGGGATCACTTATCCCCGACCAGGTATCTCTCCGTTCGAGCTCTAAAGAGAACTTCTCGAGGGTAGACGAGAAATTGGGATGCGAGAAATCACGCTGCATTCTAGGTGCTCATCAAGCTAGTACGTAGTAGGGCTATCGCACTGACTAGTTCGGCTTAACTCCGTCGAGAAAACAGCGGAGATATGTAGATGGCTGACCTTGTAGTATAACCTCCACAATCCTTAAAGCCCCAATACTTTATAACGATGCTGCCTGCCCTTCCAAGCCATTGAACATTGGCATTGTCTGAGCATGGAAATAATCTTCCGAAATCTGAGTATTCATTACCAGTAATCTCATTTGGGACTACCGATGAATCCCATTTTTCGGCCGAAATCTTGTGTCGATCTACATCTGGAAGCTTGGTCTACAACGATGTTTGATATTCGTGCGTCGTGTGGGTCCTCATCGGCCGAAGTAATGCGTAATGTCTTGGCCAAATTAGAACTAACAGAATGTAAGTAACAAATAGCAAAAAGACTTACAGCATAGAGAGCTTATCAGCAACTCCGAGGATACTTATACTTCGCTTGGTCCCAGCCTTTAAACGTATAGGGCGAGGTAAAACCTTCATTTTGACGACTCTCTAAAGAAAAGCAAAATACATATCCTCTCATGCTTTATTCCTTGCTTTTCATACTCGCGTTATTGCTCAGCCAGACTTCCACTCTCGCTGCAATTGTCCAGCCTCCCTCTTTTCATGCAACCTTATCCCCGAACTGCGCCTCTGATCTGAACGAGCTGAAAGCTCGGTATAGCACCGTGTTCGATGGTGACTACAGTTCCAAGTTTGATGACATCCTCGCGCTTTGCTATAGCTTGAAAAAGACAAACTGGAAAGATGGTGAAGAAATTGGCCTCTCGTACCTGGATAAATTTGACAGTTTCAGGAATAATTGTTGTCTCGATTTCATCAACATTGGAACGAAGGTTTCGCTACAGCAGAGTCCTAGAAGGATTTGAAACTACCTTGTAAATACCTCTTCTTTTCGGCGTATTTTTGTTGTTTACTTGCTGTTTTCAGAGTCACATGAGAGCACATCAACTTGTGCAGTCCAAGCTTCAAGAACGGACTTCAAAGTTCTGACACAGGAAGGAAAGTTCCGTGTTTGCGATATATCATGCCAAGTGGCTGGCTGCTTCGATCAATGCAGCATTGAGAGACTTGAAGACTTTATACTGGTATAAAAGCTCCAATGGCCTTGATTTTCGAAGAGAATAGTGCAGGTTTAGTGTACGGAAGCCAGTATGGATAAAGCCCTCTCAATTATTAGAGAGATATGTAGAAAACCGACAAAAAGGAAGAGGAACTGTTACAACCTATCTCTTTCGCTTTCTCTGCCCCAATTCCCTAATATGTGTTCTATGTGTTCTGGTAGCCTTGCTGCCTCAGGCAGGGCATGGCCTAGTGATCTGTCACCTAGTTGATCTTCTTTACTCTCTCTCCCTTAATGATTAGTTCAATTCAACATATGGTTTCTTTCTCACCTTGTCTCAGATGCTCTTTCACTATTCACACATCGATGAATTGCCGAATCAGAGAAGGACGTCCAATGAAGGACGTCCAATGCTAAACAAACTAGCCTCTCCACAGCACCGCACGGCCTCCTTTCCGACCCTAGCTGCCCTTACCTACGGTGGATCTCTGCCGGAAAAATAGCAGCAAAACTCCCCAGAGCTCAAGATTACTTCAAGCAATGCCTTCGCTTCTGAACGTGGTTTCTGCCTCAACCATACGCTCAAACCGAACGAATGCGGGTGCCCTGAAAAGCGCTTCGGGTCTACTGCGATCGAGGATGGACATATCGAATGTGACGAGGTGACGAAAGCAAGCACGTGGGTGGGACTCGCCTTGGCACCTCCAGGGCTGCCCAGATGGCTTGAGTGGTGACTAAGCTACAAACAGTTCCCGGGTGGCGTCCAATTTGAAGCCGAACCCTTCGCTGGTTGCCGTGTGGCGGGATCCATGCTACAATGCAGACTCAGTCAATGTCTGATCGAAAAAGACCCGTAACAGCATGTACAGAATGTCGCCGCAGGAAACAAAAGGTTTATTAGCGACGAATCAACTATGATATATGTGCGTGGTTGCTAATTTGTAAGTAGTGCGATCGTGAACGACCATGCAATCATTGTGTTGGAAGGAATGTTCCAACAGCGTGTAGTTATGATTATTCAAGCGCCGGAGAAGTGACTTTTGGGAGCCATATGCCCGTATTGCAAAGCCCGCCTGCTTCAACAATTGGTGACCAGTCTTCGGCACTTGATGCAGATTACCGCTTAAGGGACCAAATCGGGTATGCTTACACCGATGACGGGAACTACTTGTCCAAAATACAAGAGGTCAGTTTGTGTCTTATGGCTTGATGTAAGTTCATGACTAAAATAGGAGCAGATGGTTGAAGCCGATAAAGAAATTCAGACTATGAGATTTCAACGCATCATTCCTCTCCCTGAGGCTACAAGGCAAGAACTCTGTGGTATTTTCGCGAGGTTACCCCATCGACTGGTTGTGCGAGAACTCATCGACATTTATTTTGCCGAAGCCAATTGGTACTTTGCCGTGCTGGAACAATATTATTTTGAGAAACTGTACAATTCTTGGTGTATTCACAACGATTGCTTGACAGAACATGGCCAGCTTCCTGATCTACCACCGGATCTTCTGCATTTCTCGGCACTGTTATTCCATGTCCTTGCTGTCTCTTTACAGTTCCTCTCGCCGGACACGAATTGTAGCCGTGCTCTAAGAGTGGATAGTTTCACCGCGCGTGATCGTCTTTCCAGCAATTACTCTACAAGCGGAGTCGAGATCGCACGCATAGCAGGAGCGTTGGATCCTACGATAACCACTGTACAAAACGATCTCATGAGGGCATTGTGGTTGAAGAATTGCAGCCGAGGAAGAGAAGCATGGCATGCCCTAGGTAGCGCAATCAGGTGAGCCTCTGCATAATTCAAAAGGTAGACGAGTTTCTCACCCCAATCAGAACAGCCCAAGAGCTTGGCTTCCATCAGCAGAGCAAAGTTTATCAGACACCACGATCTACACTGGAGGAAACACTTACCGAGCTGTGGTATGATGAGTACAAACGCAGGCTATGGATTAAGTTGTTTTCCTGGGACAGGTGAGGCTCATCGGTTTCTTCTCCAATCCAGCCATTCTAATAAGAGCAGTCACATGGCCTTTTCTCTAGGCCGACCACGCTCTATCAACGTCAGTGATTGTACAATTAATCCGCCGTTGGATTGTGATATACCAGCGGACCCATCAACCAGGATACCAATGACTTTAGCTCCACATGAGCCTCCCTCATCTTTCACGCCGCATCTTTTCCAATACGCCATCTGTCAGCAGGCCCATAAGGTAATGTCTTTGGGTGCCCACAAAAAGGACTTCATAGATTATGCCTTGATTCAAGGTATCCACGACAAGATTCTGTCTTTATTGAGCGGTCTTCCACCTGTTCACCGACCGATGAATCCGGATACATCCTGGGATGTGAGTTACCCTCACATACCCAAACAACGTCAGCAAATATCGACCGCCGCAAACTCGTTTCTCATGGCATTGCATAGGCCACACGCCAGAACTCACATGGCTAGCCGACACGCTGCAACTCAAGCAGCCTTTGCCACGTTGGATGCGCAAGCACAACTTTTTGATATGATGGCTACCAGCTACTCTAGCATCTACGCTCTCTGTATCTATACTCTTGATGCCGGTATATTTCTGTCTGTCACAACTTTAGAACATCCGCCTACAGATATGGGTATACTACATGGGATCATTCGTGCAATCCGGAAAGCCATTCATCGCCTTGAACTGGCACAGGAGAGAGTCTCTCTAGCAGGACCGGGCTCAAGAATCTTGAAACTCTGCCACCAGAAAATGCAAGCGTCCGCACAGGCTCAGCCCAGTTCGCAAGAATCTGCTGCCCACGAGGCAACTCGTTTTACTGCGGCTTCGTTCATGGACGAGTCATTTTCCGGCGGCGCACACGTCCAAGAATCTCCCAATCAGCCTTCGGAGATCCTTGGATATACCTCTGGGTCTGGCATTTCATTGTCTGATCACATTTCGTTTGACGGCACAGTGATGTTTGAAGATATCACTCAGCCTAACTTTGATATGGAAGCATGGGTGCGGGAACTAGGCCAGTCTAACGACTTAGGATGGACCTGACTCCAATAGAGGCTCGAATGTGTCTCGTTAGTTACCATGCCAGAAAGCACTGGGACTTTTGCCAGTTTTGATCGCAGCCAGTAATGTGGCCGTCTTGACAAGCACTTGGCTAGGTGCTTCCCATGCTTTACTAAACAGTATGACCACCCAGAAATATGTTGACTGCTAAACTAAAAAGTCTGCTATCAAAGCACATATTTACTGTCGAATGTTTGACCGGAGTGGAATGGAATAATATTAAACACCTGGGCAGTCATCTGGGCTTCCAAGGTTACATGCACTTTTAACTCCATATCGACCAATCAATGTAGTTCGGCCGAAACTCCACACCGTCAGGAGCCAATGATACATGAGACTTGTGATCGGCCGACCTTGGCGCCGGGTAAGTTGATGACAATAGACCTTTCATTGGTTCCCTGGAATCGAGATCCACCCAATTTCTAGGAGATATAGGTAGGTCTACGCGTATGTATGCTTCAAAGTCACAGATTATCACGAGTGACTCGGAACTTCGCATTGGTTAAGCAGAGAGAGTAGCGGGTCTATTGCCAAGAGCCTTTCAAGGTCCCAGGCAACAGGCTTTTGATATTGGCGATGGCTGGATCTTTCTCCTTGCCGTTTATTTTTAGTGCATCTCGGCGTTTGCTGTGCTTTCCGTGCCATCGTCAGTATTTAGAGGCTATTCATTGTCTGCTGAATGCTATTTTATTCCTATGCATCAATTATCCACTCAACGAGATACTATGAAGTATACAACGATGTTCTTCTTCTTATCCCTCGGGATTGCCTCAGGATTTCCTGGGATGGACACACTACTGAACGATATAAGACGCCGGCAATCGACAACTGGAACAAGTGAGATGATTGGAGATTTGACAGATGGGGCCACAACCGCAGTTGGAAGACAAGTTCGAGAATGTATCACTGGTGTTGGATCATGCGAGAACCAAGAGGAAAAGGTTCGTCCTCTTTTGCCCCTATTGTGTGTGCACTCAACTTAGCCGTGGGTAGAGCTATGATAGACCTGATGATCTGGGAGCCGCCCTCTGTCAGGCTGATTCATGTTGCGTCTGGGACTTTTTGCAACAAGAATTGGTCGAGTTGTTTCGTAACAACGATGGAACGTGCAATAACCTTGCTCGAGCCTCTGTGAGACTCGGGTTTCATGATGCTGGGGCATGGTCCAAAAGCAGCGGTACTGGTGGCGCAGATGGCAGCTTGGTACTAAGTTCGGATGAAATCAATCGACCAGAGAACAATGGCCTCCAAGAGATTCGAACTAAGGCATTGCAGTTATTGAACAAATTTTCAAAACACGGTGTCAATGCTGCTGACTTGGTGCAGTTCATGCACAATGTTGCCACTGTAACCTGCCCTCTGGGTCCTAGGTTGCTGACTTTGGTAGGACGTCATGATCGCCGAGAAGCGAACCCTATGGGTCTTATACCAAGCAACAACGCATCGGATGCAACATTTCTCATTGATCTCTTTCAAAATAAGACTTTTACAGCACGAGATCTTGCCGCCTTACTTGGAGCGCACACCGTTGCTCGACAATTATATGTCGATCCTTCTAGAGCAGGCCAAACATTCGATTCTACGCCAGGAGTTTGGGATATGAATTTCTACCGCGAAATGGTATTGCCTGAACCCCCTTCGTAAGGCTACGCCATAATGAAAATATCGTTAGCTTTAAGAACTGATATATCTAATCTATTAGAGGCGTTTACCGGCTAGCAAATGATGAAGCACTTGCTCTGGCCGATGGCACCTCCTCTCGTTTTACCGCATTTACGGTTCGTTCTTGTCTTCATCTCCTAATTTCCAAACTCAATGCTTCTTTGAAATACTAAAATAATGTCATACTATTCTAGGATGTCACCTTCGGCCAGACGGTCTGGAACTCCGAGTATTCAGCGGCATATGTACGCCTTAGCCTTCTTGGTGTTAACAACATCAACCAACTTACCGACTGTACCAAGGTACTGCCTAATGCTGTGACCTCCTTTTCATTTAGATCCTCATCGCCATCATTTCCTTCATCCACCGCCAGATTGTCGTCGATCGAATCTAGGAACATGATGCTCTGTATTTTACTTTGCCTATTTCTATTGATGATATGAGTGAACCCTTCGAGAGAACGAGAAAACAAAAACAAGGCCCTTCGATTAAAAAAGCTCGAGAGCTGTATCAATTATAAAAGTCTGTATATTTGATTATCGATGAGCTTGATGTTCATTCGGCGTGAACAGTAACGTAGGTCAAGAAGACTACCCGAAGTAGTTAGTGGAAAGTGCGCCCCTAGTCCTTCTTTCCACGCCATACCCCCGATTCGCTCCTGACTGCGCAATGAGAAACTCCTACTGGCACTTCATGGGCACAGAATGATGGACGACATCGTGGCTCCATATCCGGTGTGGACGGAGAAACATCGCGTGTGAGTTCATTTCTCAGAATGTACTATCGTTGACTATTTGACAGACCTGATGCCCTAACAGTCTCGTTGGAGTTGATATGAAATGACAAGCTTTGGCTACGATCACCATATCTTTCTGAAGTCGTTATCAAACGTGCGGATAACGAGAAGCGACCATGCTTAGTCGCATGGAATCCGCATAATTATGAGTTTTGTGCACCTGGCTTCATTCTCCTCCACCATGGCCCACAGGGCCCACGGAAGGTTGAACTTCCTGTCCATTCTCGACCGCCAGCCAATGCGGGAGTCAATATTCACTTTCATGCTGAAAATCATCCCGGTCAACTCCACCAGTGGATAGATGTATTGTCGGATCGCTACCGAGAATACTTAAGACCTGGCGAGTCGTACACTTTGCTATGGCCAGGTGGAAAAATCACGAGGTGGGCCTGGGATTCAGATCGAGACCGCCTCCGTCAGACCCCGATGCCAGAAAATCCCGATCTAGTCCTTCCCGGCGGTTCTCATCTATCCTTTGCTGTACGGGAAGGAGAGGAGCCACCTCCAGCTTTAGGCATACCGATAACCATATTAGCTTCTGCATAAGTATACTTTCAATCTCTTGTTACTGGATATTCTGACGTCCATTATTAGACAAGCTATCCCAAACCTAACTATGAAGCTCGAAGGTCCATTGGCTGCCATAGAGCGGCGTGATGGAATGCCCTTAACTGTCCACTTCACCTATCACAGAAGCAGTTCTACAAAATCTAGACCTATCGTCCTTCATAATGTCCATTTTAACTCCATTTGTCTTACCACTGGGATGGAACTTTCATGGCAAACGTATCCATATGGTCTTGGTTGTGGGCTTGGAATATTTGATGGCCCTGACAAGGAAATCTTTCCTGGCCAGCATGAAGATTTCGTTCGTCTTCACCCGGGAGAGACCTGATCTTCAACGATTGTCGACGACATTCTCAGTGAGGCGAAAGCTAGGGATATTATCCGGTGCCAGCTTAACCTAACAGCCTTCGACTGGTGGGATTGGGGAACTAAGGACGCCCACATTTCCACTAAAGTCACAGTGGCATGCTAGGAAGCTTTCTCGGTGTTGAAGCCTAGTGATAATGACGGGCGACCTTTGGTGGTAGTGCCATCTTCAAATCCTGTTGATATAAGCATACTAGTTTAAGATCGAATCAACAGGGGGGGTATGTAGCAGCGCTCGTGAATATGATGATTTATGCTGCCTCAAATATAATAATTTTACAAATAAACTTACCAATGCAGCAAAGGAACCTGCTGGAAAAGACAGTCTATGCTAAGCATTTGTATGGTAAGATTAATATGGACCTCCTAATCAATAGGTCATGTTTCGACGGTCAGAGTATGGAGCCCCTCTCGAAGCTTATTAAAACCCTAATACGAGCTATTTTTATATAAGTGACTGTATATGTAGCCCTATTTGTAGATCATCGGCAGCCCCCGCAAAGGTGTCTCAAACATAAGCCGACGGGCTCAACCAGGTGCACTATAAAAGTAGACGGATTGTCTTTTCTTTCGCAATTCCATTCACAGTTGTCATTCTAACAATCATGTCTCTATCATGTAATCCTGTCTCAAACCCTTCTTTTGAAACCGGCGTCCTGGCTCCATGGCATCCATCCGCCGTAAATGTGGCCAAAATCAGCAACGGAGCAATTGCTTACAGTGGTGATTACTACCTGTAAGGACCTCCCTCCCTCTCTGTTTCCAGTCCAGCCAAATTGCAATATCAGACACTAACCAAGTGATATGCACAGCGATCTCCAAACCGCAGTAGGAAACCGTGGCAACACCATCTCCCAGGGCCTAAGACACCTCAAACCTCACACGGAGTACAAATTCAGTGTCCAGGCTCAGGTTCCATCGCCTTCCGGCTCAGAGTACTGCTCGGTATATGTGTACATGGGCCGCAATGCAACAATCGGCAGCATTGCCTCGGCACAGCTGTTCAATTTTGGGGAGTGGACAGAGGTCACAGGAAGCTATGTACCAAAGAGGGAGAATGATATCTTGAGTATTGTCGCCGCTTGTGATTCGGAGGATTCTTCCGTTACGGGTCATGTTTTGCTTGATGATATTAGCTTCATTGGGGGCAATTGTGCGTATGGTTTAGTCTAGAAATATACTAAATTATGATTTTTGTTGCGCATACATGCACTGTAGTAAAGATCTGGTTTCAAAGAACCCCCATTGTATAGATTGCAAATCAAGAACTTCCAGGGCCAACCAATCATGCTCGGCCATAAGAAGACTCATGTCACCTCAAAAAGATGGGAACCGAACATAAGTCCCGGATTCTGAGAAGTATCTCATTATTTACACAGATCCTCTAGCAACTCCAACATGCGTTGTTGCAACTTCACAAGCTCAGACTTAGCAATTGGCGATCGGGTAGTTCGGGTGGACTCAGTCTGACTCTGTGACTGTAAGCCTTCCATATTGGATGGAATATCTTGGACTAGCTCCTTCCGAAGCGTAAAGAATGGAACATCCAGACCGCGCAATTCGGCAATGATGGCATCTGCCATTTGCACGGCTGCCCTATGAACCTTTGCATCGTAGGTTGCAATCTCTGCGGCAAGTTCTTTTTCAGTCTAATAAAGATCAGTCATAGTGAATAAGTAAAGTAGTATTGAGAACATACCGAGCCATCGTCCTCTTTTACTGGGGCACCGATCGACCTCCTTATTTAAGTGTCAGTTATCAGTCAAAAGTAAAATACCGCAGAGCACTAGCATAGAGATAAACCCACAAGACTGCATCTAGCTCCCTCTGTTTCTCAGGGCGACCCTGCTGCTGCTTCAATAATGCCTCACGGGCATGGAACCATTGTTGTTCATGGCGGTGTTGACTTCGAATCACACCGCGGATGCGCGCCTGGGTCTCCTCATTTTGACCCACGGTGCGCATCACATGTCGTAGTGCCGCGGGCCAGGTTGTGATAGTTGATGAGTCAGAAGTAGAAGTAGAAATAGAAGTGGTGGAGGGTCTCGTTATCCTTGGCTGCGGAGGTCGTGGATCCTCCGAGGGCTTGGATTGAGAGGGTGCGGTTTTTGGGGGTGGGTTAGGTGTGGGTATATGTTGACTAGTGCTGCCCTGACCCTGAGAAGCTAGACTAGACAAGGTGCTGAGGACTGAGTTCAAGTCCGAGGCATTGTAGGAGCTGTCTCCCATATTGAGATAATAGTCTCCTGATGGGATTTGAGAGATGAGTCGGTTGGTCCAAAGGTTTCTAATCGATATATGAACCTCGGAAGTCTTAGTTGATAATAAGGATTGAGAGTGGTGAGTGAAGATGGATGTAGATGTGAAGTGTTCCAAAGACGGTCGAAGGATACATATGCAGAGTCAGAATGGGAGAAGGGAGTGTGTTTAGAGAGACCAGTCAATTTCACAAAGAGTAAGTATAATTTATTGATAGCATATAAATTACAAATCCCACGAAAATGAGAAGTGAGAAAGGAAAAGATGAAAGTCATATCAGTTGTAGCTGTTGAATGTCTTGGCGCATCTCCCGTGCTGAAAATTTACCTTCCAACCTGCAAATCCCCCGGTTTATCAACTGCCTCCAGCTCCATCACCCCACCACAGCCCTCCAATTGCCTCCAGCCAATTTGCAGTAATAATAATTTGATTCCCAATCCCAATCTCGAGCTCTCCCCCCGAAACCGGGAACTTCCAACATGTCCCGATCCGCCGCAGACGCAACGCGGTTCACGGCCACAGGGCCCTACGCCAACTCCAAGACCGCCGGCGCGTACCAAGCCCCAGACTTTGGCAAGACCTCCAACAAGAAGCCATCACCACAGCAACTTGGCCCCAGCGGTCAACCGGAGACACCCAAGGAGAAGGTGGAACGACTGCGAGCACAGGCACGGGCTGCTCGGAAGACACAGGCAGCTGGCAGCGGTACGGACCGATGGATTGAGTCTGGGCGGAGATTCGCCAATAAAGCGCACAAGGGAATGGTTTATTCATTGATTGCCGCGTCCGGTATGTTTCCTGTGGAATATGAGCAAAATAGCAACACAACATACGATCCCTTCGGAAGTCCGAGTCAACGATGACAACCAACGGAACCCCCCAAATGACCCCTACTGGACTTATACTAATCCTACTGGGCTATATTAGGTGTCTGCGGTGTTCTTACAATCTACTCGATGGTCTCGCTCACGCTCTATAACCGTCGTCAACGCACGCTTTGGATCGCAAAGGAACTCGAGACTCTCAAACAGGCCGAGATCGCCTGCGCCAACGGTACCGCAACTATCGAACAGGAGGAGCTCCTGAAGAAGGAGAGGATCGGTGATATTATGAAGCAGAAGCGCGAGGAGGATAAGGCACAGAAGCCCTGGGCCAAGGCAAAGCGATTCCTCTTCGAAAAGCTCAACATGGAAGACACCGGTGCCTCTGCTGCACCAGTCTTGGCTATTGAGGGTGCCGAACAGACCCAAGGCAGTGTTATGGAGGCCGTGCAGGCCAAGCAAGCTTTGGATACTGCGGCGAAGACCGGCGCTCCGCTGCCCGGCCAGTTGGATGTGATGGCCGAGAATGTGGAACAAGCTGCGAAGGCCAAGACATCGAGCTGGACTAGCTGGTTGACAGGACGGTAAATTGGTGTCGGCTTTGGTCCAAGCAAACAAAAAGAAAGAAGGACGGAATAGATGGGTCGATTGGCATAACCTGTCCGCGGATATAATGTTGATCTGATTTCATCATCTACCAACGGACATAATCTAGACCCATCTCTACCTCCCGGTCTTCACATCTCGCCATCTGCAATTCTTTTTTCTCTTGCATGGCAAGCTGCGATCTTTTCTCGTGGCCTGCTTCCATTCTCCCAGGGGGTTTACGGCGTTCTCTGCTTTTATCTTTCTGGAATGTGTTCCTAGTCAGTATAGTCTTTCCTGATACTCTCCGAAGGGAGTGGACGGACGGGCTTCCATGTATATCGTGTACAGTACATAGATCTGCTTCTATCTCATTTCTACTTCATCTTCAAATCCCACAATGTAACCTACGGGCATACTACATGTAGGTACTACCTACCGCCACTACCCAGTAACTATATCACCTAATAATTTTCACCGAAACAGACCCTTATAACCTAGGTGTGCGCACTAATCCCCAAAAGAGGGAACCCTCCGGAGAAGCGCTTTGCCGCGGCTACACATGGTCCATGCATGTAGTGGAGCAGGAAAAAAAAGGATAAGTAAACGGTAGATCCTAGAAAAATATAAAAAGCAGATTCAGCCTTTAATCATATTCCTAAAACTTTTGTTGGCCAATCCTCAGTCCCAGCCCAACGCAAAACCCTCAATGTTTTTGACACCACATTCACACATGAATCCCAAGGGGGTTTCCCAAGGAACAAGGAAAAAAAAAGGTACAAAGGAAACCGCTGAAAACCCGAGAAAAAGAAATAGGCACCGAAACGAGGTATCTATGCCAGACCCGTTCTCCCCTCGGAAGAAGGACTGTGAAAATCAAGAGACAGGGCATCTAGAGAAAAAGAGAATCCTCTATTGCTGCGCTTTACGGGCAGCACGACGAGCACGAACACCATCGGCAAGATCCTCAAGCACCTCGACAGTCATCTCCCAGTTGATGCAAGCATCAGTGATGCTGACACCGCGGAGAAGAGCCTCAGGTCCCTCGGGGGGAACCTTCTGGTTACCCTCGTAGATGTTGGACTCGATCATGACACCGATGATGGCAGTCTCACCCTCACGGAGCTGGTCGGATACCTCCTTGGCGACAATGGGCTGGTTCAGGTGGTTCTTGTTGGAGTTACCGTGTGAGCAGTCGACCATGAGGACCTCACGCTGCTTCTTGGAGCGGAGAGCCTCACGGGCAGTGCGGATGCTCTCACGGTCATAGTTTGTGCCTCTGTTGCCACCGCGCAGGATGACGAAACCGTGCTCGTTACCGGCGGTCTTGGTAATGGCAGCAAGACCCTGCTTGGTGACACCGAGGAAGCGGTGGGGGTGCGAGGCAGCGCCGATGGCGTCAACGGCGACGGTCAAGTTACCGTCGGTGCCGTTCTTGTAGCCGATGGGGAAGGACAGGCCCGAGGCGAGCTCGCGGTGAAGCTGGGACTCGGTGGTGCGGGCGCCGATCGCACCTAGCGAGATCAAATCGGCAAGGTACTGTGGGGAGATGGTGTCGAGCATCTCGGAGGCGATGGGGAGGCCGGTGCCGGTCAGGTCGGTGTACAGCTTACGGGACACGCGCAGACCCTTGTTGATGTTGTAGGTCTCGTCGATGTCGGGGTCGTTGATCAGACCCTTCCAGCCGACTGTTGTACGGGGCTTCTCGAGGTAGGCGCGCATGATCACGCAAATGTCCTTCTCCAGTTTTACGGAAAGCTCCTTGAGGCGGCGGGCGTACTCGAGAGCGGTATCGGGGTCGTGGATAGAGCATGGTCCGACAACGACGAGCAGGCGGTCATCGCGCTGCTCAATGATCTCGATTGCTTGATTCCGGCCGGCGCGGACTGTTTCAATGGCACGGGCAGGCTATACAGACGTTAGTTGGGAAGTTTTGCCATGTCCCCGCAAAGAGCGGGGTGAAGCTGAAGAAAAAAAAAATTTCGACTCACAGCGGGAATTTCATTTTGCAAGAAGTAGGGGGACAGCAATGGGTCGTATCCAAGGACTAACAATGATCAGTATACGCAAATTGAGTGAGAAGAATTCCACATACCACGACTGTCCTCGTTGACTTCGGTAGTGTTAATAAGAGGCATTGTGGTTCCAAGAACACTAATAGTTGATTAGTTATAAATTATAGATGATTATAAAAGATGATTCTCCAGAATCAAAATCCAAGTTTAAATTGGCAGAAATGACTCACAGATTTAAGAGAGTTGTCAAGGGGAAAAATGGGACAAAGAGGCAAAAGTGGGCCGACAGATTTCACGGGTGAAAGGGATTTTATACTTGAGAGACACTAACTTTCTTTATTTTTAGGGCTTGATTTTAATATGCATTCTAGTAATGTATGTAGCTCAGTCTGTACATCTGTACTCTCTGTACGGGTTAAATCTCTCTTTTAGCTAAGTGTGCATATTGGTGAGATCCAATCATAGGCCCGGAGATGACCACAGTCAATGTTATACACGACTGCTTTTACACCGACATCGTCTTATATCTGACCTGCATATCATGTCATGTACTTCTAATATTGTCATACTGACTATTCATTTTCTTATGCTCTACGTGATTGGTCAAGTCACAATAATGTTGGATGTATCATATAGTCCTAATCGGGTAATCAATAGAACAGAACAATATAGAACTATAGAACTTCAACCCAATTGCGTTAACAATAGTTAACAAAATACAATTAAGCTAATTGACATTCAGAGAATTCCTATTGTTCTCCTCATAATAGAATAGAACATATTCTAACATGGAGAATCCTCTACTATATAATCTACTCCGTACTTCCAACGCTTCTTTCCTTCTGACACGTTCGCAAACTTTCGGATTTACCCTTGCATGGTTACTCTATTACTCTGAACTCTACCAGGTACTTCGTACTTTACCAGGTAACGATGATTCCTTCCAAGCGAACCCTCCAGGGCCTGGAGCAATCCAAGAAAAAGGTTAGTCAACTCTACCTAGGTATATTTATATCTGATATCAGCCACTAATTCAAGACAGCGAGTTTGCCGCCCTGCACCACTGAACCTCAAATGCCCACCCATGCCAACTCATCTGGCCAATGGCGATAACCTGTCTCCCTTCCTGATCGAGAATGGTCAACCATCGCCAATTCCCGCCAAGCTGTTCAGCACCGTGGTGAAGATCAACGAAGCCAACACCAATGGACCATCCACCACGCTCACCCCACTCGCCAATGGCGATGCTCTCTCTCCCCACCTGGTCCAAGAAAATGGCCAGCCCTCGCCCATCCCGCGCACCCTCTTCAACCAATCTCTGAATATCAGCGAGCCATCCGAGGCCGCTGCCCAGGGCCCATTCCCTTTCTCCGGCACAGGCAACACCCAGCCAGCCGAGTTCAACCCCCGTCTCTCCACCCCCAACAATGGGGCATCGGGCATGGTCAATGTCAACTGGCCCTTGCCATACACTCGCACCGTTGGCCCAGTCAACGAAGACGGCTACGCCGTAGTCACCCAAACATGGTATGACTACAGTGCGGTGACCGAAAGTACCGCGACGGACTCGGGAAGTCCTCGCTCCTTCCGATTCACCCCTTGGTCCCTTCCTCCCCCCCGTGTCCGCACCCGTGTCCAGTACTTCGGCCGGCCTGATGGCGCAGCCCGCCGGAAGCCTCGCTTCACCATGGGGTTCCGCAGGGGCTGCCCTCAGTGCCGGCACCAGGTGCCTGGACACTCTAACCATCTCATCTTCCGTTGAGATGGCCGCTGACTCCCCCTCACAAAGAAGTGAGGTTGAATTGACTTCAGAGAATGAAGTGAACGGCCCTGGTGGCCTCATATTCAATTCCATAGTCTTTGTTTCAAAAAATTAATTTCTTGAACTGCTCAATTCATTAATGTATTGCACTGTGCACCTTAGTCTCTCCATTTCTAGATCTCACTCTTGATAGTTATGGGCCTTAACAGCTCTATTCATTTCTAGTATAAGCTATTCTCCAAACGTATTACTACAGCGTCTCTCCTTTGATGCGTCAACCGCTAAAAACACAGCACTAAGCTATCACACCCACATGGAGGTTCACACTCATCGCGCGCCTATAGCGCCTCTCCTTTAACATACATCTTCCTAGTTTTTCTATTTCGACCCTATATCATCAAGCGTCTCTTTATTGAAGCGCGTTATAACTAGTTTGATGGCATGGGCATTGTTCTCTAACCTAAAATGCGGGACAAACTGCAACTCTTTGTTCTACTTCAATGAAATATAGAATCCATAAAAGTAGACCTTGATTCTTATTTTGATGTGTTTAAGACATTTAATTCTGTAGTCCTTATATTCGTTAACATTCTACAATTTTGCTGAGATATGAAGTGTTGAGCAGGTGCACCCTCTTACACGGTCACATCTGGACTCCAGGTGTTTACTTTCACTGTGATTGTCCTCTTTCCATCGTCTATTTATCTTTGTTTTCAACTGCCCCTCCTGACTTCTATCTTCCTTTTCTTTCTTTCTTCCTTCCTCAATCCAATTTTCCAATTGACTACACTGATCTCTTCAAACCCCATCTTCAGCTATGCCTTCCGCGATTGGAGGTGCTGTTCCTGTTCGCATCAACACAAAGAAAAGGAAGGAGAAACTTGAATCCGAGGTGTCGGAATTAGCCCGCATCCCTCGAGTGTCACAGATACCCCAGAAAGAGAAAGCCCACCATCCGTCTCAGGTAAGTACTGATCCTGACATCTGAGTCACACTGGCATAAGCTACCTCAGCTATCCTCGCTGCACAAAGACCATCTTCCAAATACTGATAATTATGGCCAGGGAATGGATGGTTGCGTTCACAGCTCTACTGCACACGGTCCACGCACCAAGGCAGTTTCCCGCCACCATGTAGCTGGCTCTCCCGTGAAGAGGGACGGAGAGATAACGCCTGCAGACCGCCGCTTCCGTGCTGAGAACGAATACCCTACCCACTTCACCTTGTCGGAGATGGAAATCGACATCGGCTCGTGGATGTGTCTTGCATGCCCTACTTCAACCAGCAAATGCCGAGATTGCAAGCAATACGAGGGCCACGAAGACTCCCTGATCATCGCCATTCACGGAGAATGTCTCACCGGAAAGTTTGGAAAACGTTCGGCAATCGGAGTGTTCTACGGCCGTGGCAACGCCGGCAACATCTCCTCGCCCATTCCAGGCAAGGATGAGCACTGCCACACGACCCAAATCGCCGAGTTGACCGCCTGCCTGCGGGCATTGCGCAATGCAACCAACATCATCGAGAAACGACGCAAGATGGTGCGCAAGGGCAAGGTCCTGATGCCGCTGAATACCTTTGTTATCAAAACAGACTCCGAGTACCTCGTCCGCAGCTTGACGGAGTGGCTACCCAAGTGGAAGAACAATGGATGGAAGACTTGCAAGGGCGCTCCGGTTGCTAATGCTGAAATGTTCAAGCTGGCCGAAACTGGTATTACAATGGTTGAGATGGTCGTCCAGGTTAAGTTCTGGCTCGTCCCTAAGGAGAACAACATCGAGGCTACTTGCCTGGCAAAGATGGCTTTCATGGACGGATGAGCAAGGGGAACCATTCATGTGCCCCTCATTAGGGTTATCAATCAGTTTATCTCCGGATCTCAGAATATCCAAACCAAATCCAAGATATCGAATTCGAGAATGTCTCCAATTATTCTCGGCTTCTCTGTCGGCTCCAAAGTGCCGATCCGATGTGGCTGACATAAGCATCCGATTGTCTCCAGGTCGGAGCCGACGTCGAGCTGCCTGTCATTTGGAGGATTCAGTAAGGTAGAATATTTAGAGAGGTTCTGTAGAATCCAGTAGCAAGAATTAGAAGACTAGCCCCAGGGATATACTAGAAGTTGAAATATCCAACAGTTTCTCCCCACATTTTGCGGGAAACCGCTTAGCCGATCTCCAGTGCCGCGGCGATTCAACGGTACTTCCAACCCCGGAATTTTGTCCGGGATTTTCCTATAATTATGGAGTCCCGGGGAGCTGTTTCGATGGAATTACTGTCTGTTTCTATATTTTCTATTTCCTGCATACTTTAGCCATTGTACAGATGTGAGTAGCTACCCCAGAGCATGGTATACAAATCCAAACTGACAGCGCCGAGAAAGACCGGAAATACGCTTGAGTCTCAGTATACAACTTTCAAATAATTCAAATATTCCAACCAACCTACACAATCATGGCTTCTCCAATCCCCCGCGGTCTCCGCCAAGTACTCCAGAAGTCCCCCAATGACATCGTCATCCTCTCCTCGCTGCGCACACCCGTCACCCGCGCCAAGAAGGGTGGTTTCAAGGACGCCTACCCAGAAGAGCTACTCGCCAGCGTGCTACAAGCCACACTGAAGGCAAACCCAAACCTAGACCCCGCCCAGATTGACGATGTTCTCATCGGCTCCGTCCTACAAGAACTGGGCGGCGCCAAAGCCGGCCGCATGGGCCAGATCCACGCCGGCTTCCCTCACTCCGTGCCCTTCAACACGATCAACCGCCAATGCTCATCCGGCCTGGCAGCAATCACAACAATCGCAAACGGCATCCGCGCCGGCGCAATTAACGTCGGTGTCGGCGGCGGCATGGAATCCATGACCCGAAACTACGGCTCCCGCGCAATCCCCACAGTCCTCTGGCCCGAGCTGAAGGAGTCCCACTCCCAGGACGCCCGCGACTGCATCATGCCCATGGGTCTTACCTCCGAGAACGTCGCGTCGCGCTACAGTATCTCCCGCGCAGACCAGGACGCTTTCGCCGTCGAGTCTCACGCAAAGGCATCCGCCGCCCAGAAGGCAGGCCGCTTCGAATCCGAGATTGTCTCTGTCACTACCAAGACACTTGACCCTGCGAATCCAGATGCCCCCGCCAAGGAAGTCACCGTCTCCCAGGACGATGGTATCCGTCACGGCCTGTCCCTCGAGAAGGTCGGCGCGCTCAAGCCCGCTTTCTCGCCTACCGGCGCCAGCACCGCAGGTAACAGCTCGCAGGTCAGCGACGGTGCCGCTGCTACTTTGTTGATGCGTCGCTCTACTGCCGAGGAGCTGGGTCTGTCTGGTTCCATCAAGGGCCGCTGGGTCGCGTCTGCCGTCGCGGGCTGTGCCCCCGATGAGATGGGTGTTGGCCCTGCTGTTGCAATCCCTAAGCTTCTGCAGGCTGTTGGCATTGAGGTTCCTGAGGTTGGGGTTTGGGAGATTAACGAGGCTTTCGCTTCGCAGGCTCTCTACAGCGTTCGCAAGCTTGGTATCAACCAGGCTAAGGTTAACCCTAACGGTGGTGCTATTGCTATCGGTCACCCCCTCGGTGCTACTGGTGCTCGTCAATTGGCTACTCTGCTGCCTGAGTTGGAGCGCAGTGGCCAGGAGATCGGTGTTATTAGCATGTGCATTGGTACAGGTATGGGTATGGCGGGCATGTTTGTCCGTGAGTGAATCGTTTCACCCGATTTGCATAAAATGTGCTTTTTGTCTATTTGGATTAGTAGTATGATACCAGCGTTGCATGTGTATACATATACAGTTTGCATACTATGAATGATTCATTTTCTTTGTGCGACTATAGTTCTTCGCCTCGAAGATTAGAGGCTAGGATCTGAGACATTTCTGAGATATATTACACATTGAGTGCAGTATAATCACTATAGGCAAAATCAGATCTGACTGTACTAGTTATATCTTTTCTTTTTGGACTGCAGTTATTGGCAGTTTTGGCGGGATGTACAGACATGGAATAGCCATCCAAGAATTGGTTTCATTCAACATCGAGCGTGGATTGGGAAAATAGGAAAACCAAAATATATATATAATGAACCACCATATGCAATCATACTAGAGTAAAATTATTGATTTGCAATGTCAAAACCCTGGCCTTGGGCCAGCGAGGTAGACACCAAAATGCCAAGCATCAAGATCACCGACACGTGACCTGTACCTTTCTCGAATTTGTTTCTCCGTCTAGGCCAACTCCGCCAGCTCGACGCTCTCAAACAACGTTCGCGCCCACCTTGACAATGCGACCTTCAATGCGCCTCCCTTTGCGGGAGGCAAACTTCATCTGCTCCAGTTGCAGAATTGGAGCCACCCCCCGTATCTCGCCGCTCGGTCAAGTCCGCCGCTATGCCTCCGAGGGGCCCGGAGTCCTCGAACGCGCCCGGCGCAAGATTTGGGGAACCGACAACCCTCCCGGCCCAGCAGACCCCTACTCTGGAAGTCAGATCATGCCTGGATCTAATATGAGTCCCGGAGAACCCATTGCCGAAGAGACCAAGGCAGATGAAGCATTCAGTCTTCAAGATGGTGAAGCACCAGCTAAAGCAGCTGATGAGAGCCTCACCTGGGAGGGAATGCCTAAGATTGGTTACCTCAAGGAGAAAGAATGGCGTATTAAGGGATCTAATGGGGAAGTTGATGAAGTCACACCGTACGTTCAATCCAAGTTTCCAATTGTCTCTGCATGCTGGTTTTATTCCTCAATGGATTTGCTGACAATGTCCCTTTTGATCGAACAGATGGTACCACAACCCAGAACCTGTCCCATACATGAAGGCCGCGCATCAAGCTGCCGTGGAGATTGGATTGATGCAATTGTTGGGGAGAAAAGTCACCGTTGTTAGCCAACTCCACTCGCGAGAGATCCAGGACCAACTCGACATGGTCAAGATCGGAGGTGACTCTGGTAACTGGGGCGACCGTCTCCGGTTCCCCGACAATAAAACGATGGAATCCCTTCTACAAAATGTAGCAGGGCCTGCGTACGGCGAGGAAATGACCGAGGTCGCTTTCAAGAAGCAATTGGAGAAGATAACTGGCACAGCGGAAAATCGCCTGTATGACCCAGAGACCAAGGATCAGAAGAATGACCTCAATACCCTGTCGCTGGCTGATGGAAACATCAAGTTTGCTGTTCGTGTTCCCCCTTCGACCTTCATAACCAACATCACTAACAACTACATCTTAGTTCTTTGCCCGCCTCTCCAAATTGACCTCTCAGCGCATTTCCGACTCTATCATCTCTTCCACCACTACCGGAGAAGTTTTCACCGCACAGGAGGAACTTCGCAAAAAGACTGCCAGATTGACGCCTGTGATTCTCCATGAGCTTATGGACAAGAACGGTGCCGCTAAATTGTCTAATGTTAAGATTTCCGACGTCCGCCAGACTCGCCACGACAACGATGAAGATCTTGGCCGCAAGAAGGTTATTGTTTCTGCCCTCTACAAGGGTGGTTTGATCAGCAAAGCCCTGGGCCAGAAAAAGCTCCCGCCTTGGAAGCAGGCTAAGAAGACCAAGGTGAATGTCTAGGCCTTTCTGAATGTTTTGTAGAATGTTGGAGGCGTCTTTTTCCTTTATCTAAGAGCAATCTTTTGTACATTAGAATTGTTGATTGAATTGCATTTTTGTCCTTGTTTCGTCTCGTCATGTCAAGTGAGTTCAGATAATTGTACATGTTAATTTTGGAATGTAAGGTATGTCTGCCAGTCTACTCGTTCATACAACGCTGTAGTCACCATCAATCATTGAAGAACACCAAATCCTTGTGAACTCCGGAAATAAAACTCCCCCCACGACCTTGTGTCACATTGAAAGGCACACTTCAGGCCTAGTGTCTACCTCTGCGCAGCAGAAAGATAGAACATAGGTCATGATATGGAAAATCCTCTGGTCATGAAATCACGATTCTTGGACCCGCCGTCCTTCTTGGAGAAAAGACTGTCGATATTTTCATTCCGACCCATCATCTTCCGGCGCTTCTTCTTCTCATTCTCCTCCGCCAACACACGGGCAGTGAGCGAAGAAGTAGCAGCGTTCTTGATTCCATTGCCAGAAGCAGTAGTAGGCACCGATGTGGAGGTGTTGCTTTGGCTTTTAGAATCTGAGGATTGCTTAGGCACTACCAAGTCAGCAGGCTCAATGGGACCGGGGGCATCAGTTACACCCTCAGCGGTGGCATTCTTCTTGCGCTTCTTTGAGCCCGGAGCTTTTTTGAGGGAATGTGTGAGGCCTTGTTCAGCAAGTTTATGGCCTCGCTCAATCAGACGTTGCTTGTCTTCTTTTTTTATTGTAAGGATGGGAATGACGTTATCTTCGGTGTAGGATTCGTTGCACTAGCACATGCACGTTAGCCACTGTCGCCGCTTTGTATACAAGGTGTGATCCTTACCTGCAAGCACTTGTCGCCCTTAAGCTGTCGGATAGCCTCATCCGAAAACACATGTCCACACGGCACCAGGTACACAGACTTCACACTTGGGCCCAACGGCTTTGTGGTGACCGGGCAAATCCAGCCCTCGCGGCGCTCACGGGGTGCATAAGCACGACCGGCCGGGTGCTCTGTGAGCTCGGTATCGATTTCGAACTTCATCTCGACCACATCCCGGAGCGACTTCACTCGCCCGCACAGGATCTCTTCACAGTCGGCCTTGGAGCTGATGCCCTCAACATCGTCGCCGGGGATCAAGAACTGGAGTATAGCGTCCTTGTTGTAAAGATTCCCGACTGAGTCTGATACAATTGGCCGGGATAGTGACTTGTGTGAAAGCGGACATGTAGTCCAGCAGTGTTCTTGCTGCTCGCGCTGTGTCTCTTTTACTTGCGCCGTGCTTGGGGCGCGAGCTGCCTCACGGACGAGCTCTCGGCGAGTCGGAATACTAGAAAGGCTTCTGTTAGAAAGTCTGAATATGTAGCGCGTGTGTAGCAAAGTCACTCACCTGCCACCGTCATTACCCATATTTGCGATGCAGTTGATGTGAGTTGCTCCCACTACTTCGCCACGATAAAGTCGGAAAGATAGCGCGCTGAGTCAGCGGCGATTAGATCCAGCCCGGGCCCGCTATCAACAGCTGGCCAGAAGCTCTCTCCGCACCTCCACAAACAAAGCTCAATGCCTCAAGCATGAGACTCCCTCAGTCGTTAGTGTTATTGGCTGCCGCTGGGTCTGCGGCCCAGGCTAGTAGTGACAAGCCTGCGCGTCCCCGTGGCTTGGCCCCAGAATGTGAGTATCTGAACCCTTTAGATCTCCACTAGTGTTTCTGCAGCGGGTTCATGTAGCAGTGATCTATGATAGGCAATTGATCATTTTTCTCTTGGGTGTTATACTAATGTAGTATCTTTAGTTGCCAAATTCTACCAGGACTCGACGACATTCACCTGTATCTCGAATCCTTCGGTCAAAATCCCCTTCTCGGCCGTCAACGATGACTACTGTGACTGCCCCGACGGAAGCGACGAGCCCGGCACATCTGCCTGCGCACATATCTCGCGCAATTCGCCACTAACGGTGGCCGACCGGCCCGGGAATAGCGATGTGGACATCGCACACGCCCTCCCGGGATTCTACTGCAAAAACAAGGGCCACCGGCCATCATACGTCCCATTCCAGCGTGTCAACGATGGTATTTGTGATTATGAGCAGTGCTGCGATGGTACCGACGAGTGGGCTCGCGTTGGGGGCACGAAATGTGAAGACCGATGCAAGGATATTGGCAAGCAATGGCGGAAACAGGAGGAGCAGAACCAAAAGTCGATGACAGCTGCCTTGAGGAAGAAGAAGGATCTTCTTGTCGATGCTGGTCGCCAACAGCAGGAGATTGAGGATCATATCGTTGGGCTAGAGGCCGAGATTCAGGGCGCTGAGGTCAAAGAACAGAACCTCGAGGCTGATCTGAAGCTCGCTCAGGAGCAGGACCGTAAGGTGGTCCGCACTGGAAAGGGTAAAGGCAAAGTCAGCGCCCTTTCCAAATTGGCTAAGGCCCGTGTTGATGAGCTACGCAATGCGTTGGTCGATGTGCGTCGCCAGCGGGATGAAGCCCGTGAGCGAGTGAAGGAGCTTGAGGATATTCTGGCTAAGGTCAAGGTGGAATATAACCCCAATTTCAATGATGAGGGTGTTAAACGTGCGGTCCGTAGCTATGAGGACTACGCTGCTCGTGAACAGGGAATTGAGGGTACGAATGCTGCCGTGGACCGCGACTTGGACGAGATTTCCAAAGCCGACGGTGAGGACAGTGGTGTTAACTGGGAGCACTGGGAAAACGAGGAGGATGGATGCAATGACACAGATCTAGGTAAGTTATTCCCTAAGTTCTTGTGACACCTAGTATAGTTTACTAACAGGAAACTATAGTGTACAAGCTCGCTGCTTATCTCCCACCGTCACTTGTCAGCTTCATTGAAGACAGGGTCGTTTCTGTCAAGAGCTTCCTTGAAGAAAACGGCATTATTCCCAAGGCCGATGCAAACTCTTCCTCCGAATCCAAGGCCGTGACCCAGGCACGCGATGCCCTCAAGGCCGCACAAGACACTGTTACCAGTCTCAAGAACAAGCTACGCGACCAGCGTGCTGACCTTGAGCAGGACTATGGCCCGGCCTCCATCTTCCGCGCACTTAAGGGTGTATGTATCTCCCAGGATGCGGGTGAGTACACGTACGAGCATTGCTTCCTTGAGTCGACCAAGCAGAACCAAAGGAAGGGAGGCAGCTCCGTGTCCATGGGCAAATTCTCTCATGTTGGAACCATGAGTGTGGAAGAAGTGAACGAGGCTGGCGAGGTCATCAATGTCGAGAAGATGATGATTGAGTACGATCGCGGCCAGTCTTGCTGGAATGGACCTAGCCGGTCGACCAAGGTCATTTTGGAGTGCGGTGAGGAGAACAAGATCTTGAAGACAGCGGAAGAAGAGAAGTGCGTGTACTCCATGCTTGTTACCTCGCCGGCTGCATGTGCTGGTGGCGAGGAGGCAGGTAATGTTGTGCCTCGCTCAAAAGACGAGCTGTGACAACCATGTTAGATCTATAGATCTGATGTTACATGTATTGAATGTTTATTTCATATGCATCCCATTAGTTGGAATGAATTGCAATTTGAGCGCTTTTGTACACTACTGTTCTTGTTCCTTGGTGTTAAAGTAAGCATTTGTTTCTTGTCGATCTGAGTTCGATACAATATATGCGAAAGGCGCTCAGTGGACACTTCACTTACATGACCAGGATCAAATCACCTAGCCACATTTACTAGAGCATATAGATACTACTGGAGATCACAGATAATAATATAACCAGCATATTTATAACTTATAGCACTTGGCTGAAGACTAAATCACAAGAACATACACGAGGTCGAATCTGAACCTATAAACTTAACACCCCATCCACAAGGCTCCAGGCCCTATTATCCCCAGATCGTAGCATACAATCAGCTCGATCATGACAATCACAATGGAGTTCTCTCATAACCTCGACAATGAGGACACCCGCACCCTAGCTAGTTCAATAACAGTGGGAGTCCGGGTCTGGTATGAGTTGTATTGGAGGAAGATGGCGGTGATGATGGCGTATGAGCCGGCTTAGTGCTAGAAGGGTAGTTAGTATAGCTTTCGCTCCAGGGCCTCATCCCACTTCAAGTAATGATGGCTCTAAGACACGGAGTGAGCAAGCAATGACATACCTTGCAGCTGGCACAAGAGCAGGAGTTGCACTCGCCGGAGCAGCAGTTACAGGTGCAAGGAGACATGATGAATATAGAGGTGGTAGGTAAAGAACCTTGAAAAAGAAGCTTAAGAGTAGTGTTTGGCTTTGATATAAATGGCTTGGATAGAGAAAGAAAAAGTCCAACAAGGGATATGAGGTCAACTTTATACTGCTAAGATCCACGATTGCTACTTCATCCCGATCAATAATAGCGCGGCGTATAATTCTATTTTCTTCCATCTACCATGCACCTCCATCCAATCCAAGACGTAGTGACGCCGTCGAGGTGCCCCGTTCACACTCCATCGTATCGCGTGGTCGAGTCAAATGAGCCCAGTCCTGCATCCCACTCAGGGCCCCCAACCCCCATTCCGCCTACCACCTATCAGGTCTTCAGCCTATTCTCACGCGCTATGCGCTGTACTATAGCCAGGTTGCTCTACCGCTCGCCAATAGAGCGGAGCCTATCGGGCTCTATAATGGAAACTTCTAAATTCTGGAGCCACTCTCGGGCAAATATGGCGCAAAGACCGGTGAAAGAGTCAGTCCCCGATTCATTTTCTTACGAAGTCTAAATATTTTCTCGGTGTTTGCTCGGCACTCTAGTGAGTACAACATCAGGTGTGGACAGAGTAGATCAGATTGCATTGTGCTCGGGCTGGGTTCCTGCGAAATAATATGGTTCGTCTATTGGCTTAGAACTAAGAATCGGGCTGGGTTCATTTTGTGGAGCAATAACATACGTTTTTTACGCTTTTTAGATAGGGTCATCTTTGCCTATACTCCATGGATATGTTTGAATCTCGACTGGGCTTGGATTTCATCATATTATACTGCTATAGAAGAGCTATTATGTGCATGTATAGTGTATAAAATATTGAATATAGCAAATATAGGACAGCACATAGCAACATTACAACCCTATTAGGGTGTTAATTAAAATTAAGACCTTCTATCATCATGCCACGATGACGGCCACGTTTCGGGTACGACGTAGATCTGCGTGCCTTGTTAGATCCACTTCGGGACGGGCCTCTTAGGTATTATCTCATGGGTACAGTAATATGTGCAACATGCGTACGGAGTACCAGATGTGGACTGTAAGTACTAGGACAAACTAGGGTAAACGTATGCAAAGAAAAGATGGAGAATGCTCAGCGAGGGTTAGGAATGAAATTTCCGGCGCCTGCAGCGGTTTCGGGTTTGACTATCGTTCTGGCAGCCTATTAGGCGATGTTTGCCGGATTGGGGACCTTGGAGGAGGGGTGCTATCCGGCCTCATTGGTAGCTTTCGATTACCTGAGATGCATGTTTATGTCCACCCGGTGGAGCCGTGCCAAGGTGTTTCGACCTTCGTGTTTTTCTTGCTTGCTTTTGGGGTATTTGTCTGCTAAAAGTGTATGACGGGCGAGACGCTCTAGTAGTTGCACCTGCATTGTGGGGACTGTATTAGCCCCCGAGGTTGGTTTGAGGTTGGGTTTAGATGATGTCTTTCCATATTGCAGTTGGTGATATCTATTCAAAAGAAAAAACCGTGTATATTATATACCAAGACGCAAGATCTGATAACGCGGGCTTTAAAAGGCATGTCACTTTGCACAGTGTACGTGGCATAGAACCGTATACTACCTACATCGGCGCTTGGACCTCTATTCTATGGCACAGACTCCTTGGGATCTGACTGAGAGCCAAAAACAAGCCAGCAAAACAACGAGAAAGTGGAGAGGCTGCAGCTTGAAGGCTACCAGAGCATATCACAGACCCTCTCCGAGGTGCATCATGCATAATTATGATTGGCTCCGATCCAGTACTACTCTTCTAGGACTCGTGCACCATTGAGTCCCGCTTTTTATCTCTTGCATTCAACTCTGGTACCAGGTGTTGGGATCTACTTCGTTGGAACGTTTGATGTTGGAGGTGAAAATGCCGCATCGGCAAAACATAGCAGAATCTGTACTTGGAAAGACGGGAAGGACATTTCCCCTTCTGGTTACTGTGACGAGACGATCACTAAGTGGACTGTGTTGGGTTGACAAGGATGCCTGATATTGGATCAAACATGATTCTCGGTGACTCGCCCGCACATCTCCTTCCTTTCCGAGCGTATGGTCTACTTCCTCAGGCTGTGTCTGCATTAATATGGGTGGGTTGATAACTATGTACCGAGGTACTCTGTAGATTCCACATATGATGTATGTTGTAGGTACATTTTAGGTGTGTCTACTAATCTCCACATAGGAGGCGGTTCGGGTATCTAAGTATGTCGGACAGGCTGTTGAGCTCCCAAGGTTGACCAATGCCGATCTGAAAGACCCAAATTCTGAATCTGATGCCCACAAGGTACTTGCTCTACAAAGAATAAAAGTGATCGAGCAACTGCATGTCCTTCATTATGACGAGCCAGGGCTCCTACATATTTTATGACATGACGTGCAGGCCCGAAGAACACAACCGGAAGTTGTCCGACTCAAATATCCTCCGTCTCACTGCATGTTTCATATCCCCTTGAAAAGTTCAAATCAAATCATCGGGAATTCTCATATGGGTGATTTATTTCTTCTAAACGGATTTAGGGGTCAGCCAGACGTCATTGAAGGAAGGAATATAACACGTACAGGGCAGTTGCAAGAGCCGGCAGGGCACTGGCAAGAGGAGCCGCAGCTGCATCCGTGATCGCCTATCATGGTCAGTATCGAAAGAAAAGGTGAAATACGACAAAGGACAACCCCGCTATGACCCCCACCATTTCAGAAATCAGGCCAAGGAAAAGTGCGGTTATTCAAGACCGTGAAGTCACAGATAAACATGAAAGATGGAAGTGCTTACTCATTTTGTATGGAGTGGTATAAAAAAAAACTGGTGAAGCTTTTGGAGTTTGTGTTGGTTGTAAAAGGCGAGGTGGGGGGGGGGGGGGGAAGGGAGAGAGGGATGGGCGGGGACCTTATATACTCGTGACTTTCCGATGTTGAGTCTGAGGGTCAGACCTGAGTTCTCATTTGCATCTTCCCACGTTACACTTCCATTGTGAGCATATTTCTGCACCTGATTACGCCAACGCATTGGTTTCGAGAGCCGCGCGATCTCGAAATTATTCCGAAAGCATGACTACTTCTATCACTTGCATATGCGGAAGTGTAGCCTTATCTATCCAGTTGGACTCTGATGATCAATCCAAACTCCAATTATGCCATTGTAACAGCTGTCGGATGGTGACTGGGCAGCTGTCTTCATCGTATTATCTTCTCCAGCATGAACCGAATCTAGATGGGCTCCAGGAGTATCAACAGTCCAATCATGTTAGTCGTTTTTTCTGTAAGACATGCGGTGCCCACGTCTTTGCTCGCTCGCAGCCTGGACAGTTCCTAGTTGCTTCGGGTTTGTTGGCAGCAAAGGACGTTCCCTCGGTCCGAGCGATTGAGCACTGGCAAAGCAGCGATACCGGTGACGGTGGACTCAGTGCACTGCTTCCTGGAACGGAGTCTCCCGCCACAGGCTGCAGGTTACATACCTCAACCAGCATCGAGAGTCCCAGCCGAGAATCAGTAAACCTGGCGGAATATACATCAACAAGCCAGCATTTGCGGGCACATTGCCTCTGTGGAGGAGTTGAGTTTTATATCACCAAGCCCGATGTGTCATCCTTGAAAGCATCCTCGCCATGGCCAGATCTCCTGGTTCCATACTACTCCGGGTCTGGAGCGAATCCTGATGATATCAAATGGTGGTTGCGAGATGGTGATACAAAATATATTTCAGGAACTTGTACCTGCAACAGCTGTCGGTTGAGCAGTGGGTTTCCAATTCAGACCTGGACATTTGTGCCCAAATCCAACATCTTGAATGCAGACGGGTCAGCACTTATGTTTGGTGCAGGTACCATGCAGCGGCATGAAAGTTCACCAGGGGTATACAGAGAATTCTGCGGCTGCTGTGGGGCTACTGCCTTTTGGCATTGCGATGAACGACCACTGCTGATTGATGTGAGTGTGGGCTTGCTCCAGGCAAATGGTGCTAGAGCCGAGGACTGGTTGGAATGGGTAACAAGTCGTGTCAGTTTTGCTGAGATGGCGATACAACATGATTTGATTCATATTCTAGAGGAGGGCCTCAAGGCCTATTCAAAGCAAAATTAAAAGTCAACATCTGAAGATAATAATCTATGAATGTCATCTCATATAGTACTCCTACTCCATATATATGTGCACCTTCCTTCCAAGTAGCACGTGTGGAAGGTGCGACCATGCCCGTCACCGCCTTCCCTCCCAACTTTTTCGGGGATCTTTTTTTCGCGTCTAATCCGAAGCTTCTTGATCATCTTTTTCTCCACGCGTCTGCATTTTTGCTGCTTAACTGCAGCTGCTCAAAATGCCTCCAATGGCTCCATTTGCTCCATTCCAGTTCAGAGGAAATTCTAACTATCGTGGCTCGCGTCCCAATCCACGACACGAGTTCACTTTCCGGTACCAGAAACCCGCCACCTCGGACCGACCGTTATTGTCCTCGAAGAGGGAAAGCACGCCCGAACGACTTCAAGGCGAGTCTGAGACTAAGCCTGAACTCAGATTTGCTGAACTTTCCACTTTGAGCGACAGCGAAGAAGCAGAAATGGACATGTCTGATGACTCCGACACCGAGCGACCGCGTAAGAGACGTGCAGTAGCTCTCGACGGGCCTCAAGAGGCTGTTCCTGCTCCTGTTCCGAAATGGTCGAACCCTGATCCGTACACTGCGCTACCTCCTCCAGCTGAAACTACAAACAAAAGGGTGGATGTTGTTAAGCTGATTCGCAAGGCGAGACTTGACATTGCTGCAAAGACGGACGAAACGGACGCAGTCAAGCAAAACTCAGACTTCATTTCTCTTGGCATGGCATTTGAACCAGAAATCTCTCAGAGCAACGCTCCCGATAATGCTCCTAAAGGCCCCAAGGCCCAGGACGTTCTAGATCCCGCCATTGCGAGTCGAAAGCGAACCCGCGACGATGAGATCAAAGGGTACTCCCGAAAGACCGGAAAGCCTGCCAGCAGGTTCAACTACGATGGTTCTGTTATCGATCAATGGAGACCACTTTCCCCAGAGACAGGCACGCCTTGGTTCGAGGGCACCCCGCCTTCCTTGCACGTTGGAACCCAGTCAGTACTATCCTTCGCGCTATTCCCGATTTCTCTCTAACATTTAAGCCAGGCTGCATAATGAGATTCTCAGCTTCTATCACTGGGCCAAGCCACAGGAATTCGAACATATCGTCCGTGCAGACCTTGTCAATCGATTGGAGACTGCATTCCAACAACGCTACCATAACGTTTCGATCCGGGCCTTTGGTTCTTTCGCCTCGGGTCTCTATCTCCCCACTGCCGATATTGATTTGGTGCTGCTTTCTCACACATTTTTACGCACGGGAGTCCGAACATTTGGAGAAAGGAAGGGTCAAATCTACGCGTTTTCAGCTTTCCTCAAGAGCACAAATCTTGCTGTTCCTAACTCGATCGAATGCATTGCCTCCGCCCGGGTCCCGATTCTCAAGTACGTGGACAAGCTGACTGGATTGCGCGTGGATTTGTCTTTCGACAATGACAGTGGCTTGATCGCCAACGAGACATTCCAGAAATGGAAATCTCAGTATCCGATGATGCCGGTTATCCTGGCTGTGATTAAGCAGTTCCTGTTGATCCGTGGCCTCAACGAGGTCCCAACTGGTGGCCTAGGAGGTTTCTCCATCACTTGCTTGGTCACGAGTATTCTCCAGCATCTGCCCCAAGGCCATATGCAGCCAAATCTAGCAACAATCTTGTTGGACTTTTTCAATTTCTACGGGAAGGAATTCTGCTATGATAGGCTGGCAATCCGGATGGATCCTCCAGGCTATTTCAACAAGGTGAGTGAATTCTGGTTTGCCTTTGTCAACCAGCCAGCTAATCATGTCAAACAGGGCTATTATTTCGGCAACCCCGATCGTCTCACAATCGAAGATCCCAATAACCGAGACAACGATATCTCAGGCGGCACTAAGGAAATTGGGTTGATCTTCCGAGCCTTTTCTAATGCCCAAACTGCCCTGAGGAATCGCATGGAATATCTTGCACTTGTCCAAGGGTCGAATAAGAGCATTCTTGAACCCATCATTGCGGCGAACTTTGATGAATATATCGAGCAACGCTTTCAACTCCGTCAGGTGTTCATGACAGAAGAGAGGTTTGCTCGTTACAGGGAGGCTCCACCTCCGCCTCCGCCGCCGGGATCCCCTCCTGCTAACGAAGCTTCCCCTCCTCCTCCTCCCCCTCCTGTCGACGGAGCCCGCTCTCTCGTGCCAGCGGCCGCAGCTCGCAAGCCTGCCAAAAAGGCCAAAGGAAATTCGAAGGGCACGAAATCGGAGCCAGAAGATATTTCTTCTGATGAAGCGCCTGAATCCGAAGCAAAGTCTGCCAAAGCTCGCAAGGGTGAGACAAGACGTCAGTTATGTCAGGAGCGTGCTGCCAGGCTTAAACGCCTGAGGCCCGACCTCACGAAGCTACCCAACACCCTCAGCCTTCGCCAAGCTCGCCGCCATGCAGGCTACGAGACCGATGAGCAGATGAATGCGGATTTGGACCGAAGAGAGCAGAAACTTCTCGCCTCGGCATAAATTTAAGTTTCCATCTCCACGCCCGCAACGACTTTCTTTTGGTTTCTGTTTGTATGCTTTATTTTGTACGATGATACCCCTTACTTCGAATGGTTTGGTGATTTGCACGGGGAAGAAAGGAGGGATGTGTGCAATGACGGTTTGGTGGGGGTCGGTGATATCTTCGCATGTGCTTCGGCAAAACTGTGTGCTTCTACTACTCTCGATGGCGAGAAGCGCAGCGAATGACTGGTGGAAAATCGAGAATGAACATTCTTTGAGCTTGAGACGAAAAAAGTACTTACTATTTAGGATTCTCTCCCGGACTTCGACTTCGCCAGAATGTCTTGACTTGTCCCTCGGTTACAATTGATTAGGGCTGTCTGAATGTTGAAGCGAGTTTTCGATCTTATTTGATTGAGATCCAGTTTCAATATGGATAAGCCCACGACAATTTCAAACCCTGGATGATCTTGTTTTCATCTCCTGTTCTAGTCGATTCGGCGCCTCAACGTCTAATGCCTTCTCGGTTTCCCCTCGACGAGCACCTAGTTCTTGCAGTTCTTTGGTCCCAACATGGGACACTGTTAGTGATTTCAATGGAACCCCCCGATGATCATGGATTCGCGCCCAACGTGGATCTATGTTTGTTGGCGTTTATCTTTCTTGCTTTTCCGTTTTCCCTCTCCTTCCCATGCCTCCCTTCTCACCCAGAGAGCGCTATATGCGACATCTGGGAGAGGATTGGGGCATCAGGAGCTACTGGACCTGGGATTACACGCCGAACTCGTCTTTATTCGGAAGGTGAGCCCATCTCCACGTGTTGCCGAGTCCCGATTCCTGCCTGTAACTCTTCGTCTAACCCAGATCCATGGAAATACATATAGCAAGTATGAGAAAACATTGGGAGATACCAGGGCTATGTTTCTCGATACATTCATGAAGTCCTATTTTAGTCCTATGCAAGCTGCTTTTCCACATCTGACGGTGGTGTCAGCATAGCATCCTCATTAATACCTGTATCAGATATAGTGAGATGAGGCTTCCGTCCTGTTCTCTCCTCGGCCTCGATCCTCTGCAAAGCAGCAACATGCTCCTCAGATAACGAATTCACAAAGTCTGGTGACGGACTGGCCCAGACATAATCAACCCACTCTGTACCTAAGATGTCCCGAATCTCTCGTGCCAGCTGCAAGATATGAACTCCACGCGTATGAGACCAGGCACGGTCCGTGATAAGGCCCTCCTGGGGCGTAAGGATATTCGCCGTCGCTGGAACATCACCCATCGGAATATCCAGGCTGGGAGTCGACGGTCCAGCCGAAATCAACTTAGTATCGAAATACGAGGCGTCGTCGTCCTCATTCCAATTCTCCAGTCCATCAACGATACTGTGCCAGACTCGCAAAGTCTCATCCAGCTCAGCGACATTACTAACGCCCATAACACTGACACCAAGCCTCCTTCCCGTGCCCATACTAGCCACAGACAAGAACCCAGGATCAGTGTCTGGAGCACGAGCAAGCGGTGCACCGAGACCGCCAGCCCGCGCACCAACACGCAGCCACGCCTCCAGCGCAAACCGAATGGCAACAACCTCAAGCTTCTCGCCATGTCGCGAAGCACAGTCCGAAGCACCACGGATAGCAGTCCGTAGCGCATTAGGAGCGGGGTGGAAATCGCCCATCGAGCCAATTGGAACACCGTCACGACGGAGCAATCCCATACCCAGCGGCGACGCGTTAGGAACAACATCCACACCCGCAGCAATCAACCTGGGCAGGGCGTGCGAGTGCAGTCGCGTATTCTGCAAAGTGAAGTTGGCATACGACATAACGATATCGAGCGGCTCGCCCGTCTCACGGAGAACCATCTCTGCCAGATCGCTAAGCACATCGACTGGGTATCCTGAGATACCGACGTAGCGTAGGACACCCTCTTCATCGCGCAGACGACGCAGCTCCCGCACCGCCGTGACGACTTCCCCAGCCGTCACGAACTCCACGTCGTGGCAGTACACTACGTCCAGGTAGTCTGTGTGTAGGCGTTGCAGACTGCGCTGCACGCTGTGTCTGATCCATTGGGGCGAATAGTCGAATGATGAGCCAGCTACGCGCCCGACTTTCGTGAGGAGGTGATATGTCTCCCGTGGGAAGTTTGTTTGCACGGTTTCTGTTGCGAGGGCGCGGCCGAGAAGTTCTTCTGCGGGGCCGTAGTAGGGGGATGTGTCGAAGGCGCGGATGCCGCGTGACAATGCGCGCTGTACGAGTTCTGTTGTTGGGAGGGCGTATGGGTCGGCGTTATATTGGGAATTAAATGTTGCGGTGCCCATTATCAGCGGTGGCAGGGCCGCGGACAGTGGGGTGGAGGGGCGCATGGTGTTTGGGAGGTCAATTTTGTCAATGTGCAAGAGTAGGCTATTGATAGGTATGTCTCTCTTATGGATTGGTTAATTGGTAGAGTCTTTTCGAATGGTAAGTGTAGTGTCTATATTTTCACCGAGAAAAAAAAACAGAACCCCGGGCTCCGCTCCGTATTGCGCCATGGCGGGGGATTGTGCCCAGATCGGGACATGTGGCCAAAATCTGATCGACTTTGTGTTACAATTTTCTGTTTCGGAGGTTTTAGTTGGGCCCCTTGATAGAATCTTGGAAGACATGAAGATGTTCCTGAGGCGGCGGTGGCAAAAAAAAAAAAAAAAAAAGTCGAGCGCGGATTCCGATGTATGGAAGTACATATGGAAGAAAAATACATGGTAAATAAGTCTAGATCGGACATTACACAAGTTAATGCAAGTATATAGCTATTGTACATGAATCCTTTCCGGGTGAGAGTGGAGAAGGGGGTCAAACGCGCATCACAGATGATATACACAACCAAAAGGTCGATGAGAAAGTCGGAGATGGAGGCAACAACTTCCACTTCCGACCGGAGATGATACCCAAGGGGAGATTCAAGGGCCATCTAAAAAATATCAGAGAGAAAGACCCCAGTCTAGAAAATCAAGGCGTCTTTCTCCAACAACCCAAACGCCATGCTATGCCAAAACAAGAAAGACGAGCAGATCGAAAACAAAGAAGCCGGTTGGGGTTGGAGGCTTCTGTCGCAGGAAGCGTAGATGTGCTCGTAGGAAAACCGGAGGGCCTGGACAACCGGAGAACCGCACTTATTGTCGAATTCATTTATCCTTGTAGACCTTGGGGTTCCATCCTTCCTTCAATTCCTTGTCGATCGCAGATTTGCGCTCGATCTCGCGAAACTCCATTTCCAGGCGCTCGCGTGCACGCAGAATCTTACTTTGCAGGTAGAAACTGCCGCCGGTTTCGGGGTTGTTGGTGTCGAACAGTTTCTTGAATCGGGCCATAACGTGTTCGAGGTCTTGTTCGCCGGAGGCCGGGGGCTTGACGTTCAGGATTTTGCAGGCTTCATCGACGGTTACACTCGAGGTGGAGGTGGACTTTCCGGCTGCCTTTTGCTGGCCAGCGTATTTGCCGGACGCCTGGGCTTGCTTGTAGGCTTCGGCGAAGGCGCGGCCGAAGACCCGGGCTCCGGTCACGACGACTTGAGAGACGATGCGATGCGCCTAGGAGATTATTAGTTTTAATTTTGGGAATGAAAAGAATAAAGAAATCAATAGACATACCATTGAGAGAAAGTGCCGTAGAGGAGGCGATCACGATGTTATAGGTTGGAGGAAGAAAGAAGAGAAGGGGAAAATTTCGGCTGCGGGTTTTAGCGTCGGGAGCTTCAGGCACGCCTCTATAGAGAAGAGTAAGTATAGGTGGCAAGGTCATTCTAATTTGAGATTTAAGAATCAATTATTGAGTAGTTCTTATTCCTGTCATCTATATAGTCATCTCTTCTTAAAAAATAATTAAAATCAAAAAGAACTAAAAACAATAAGACAAAGAATATCATCCTTCACCATATACCGAGAGTCACATGTCCACAACTTCGATCTCCCCGCAGATCTTCAACCGAAAACATAACGAACGATATAAATTCCTCACCTCATCCCAGGGGATGAGCTGATCGTCCCTCTATGACATGTCCGTAATTGGATGGCAGCTTTAGGTATGATATTTGATACTTCCCCTGAAACATCACTAATGGAAAGACAGACAACCTTCCGTGGATAGACTCCATGGCACCCTCAACCAACGCACAAGATCAGGGCCAGTCGGACTCTCAACCTCCGACGGTCGCTGCCTTCTCCCCAACCACCATTACCGGCTCGGCTCTGACCTCGCGCCAGCGCTCCAGTGTCATCGTACATCGCAAATCACCTCTCCTAGTGGCCACACCCCCGGCCATCACTCGCGCTCTAGCCTACTCGCACCCGTTCCTACTTCCTCTAAATAAATTCGCAGGTCTCCTAACATGGACATCTGGAGATCCATGGCAGAGCTTTCTGCTGGTGGCTACCTTTTGGACTATCGTGCTATATAGCGATGCCATAATTCTTTGGGCAGGACCGATCCTGGTCGTGGTCGCCTTGATCCTTGGCATGTATGGACGTCGTTACTCGCCTCTCTCGTCAACTACATCAACAGGCGAAAAGCACAAGACCAAAGTTGCCCCAGATAGCTCACTGCGTCATCAAAAGAGTCTCGATGAGATAGTCGAAACCCTTCGCATCTTCACAACCAGATGCAATATCCTCCTCGAGCCTCTACTCGACCTCACCGACTTCCTATCCACGCAGCGCACTCCTACATCGGCGACTACCAAACCCGCCCTGACAGCTCTGTTCATCCGCATCCTCCTAGTCACTCCCGTCTGGATCGGTCTGACTCTACCGCCATTCTACATCCTCACCACGCGCCGCGTCGTCATGGCCGTCGGCACTATTGTTTTGACTTACCATTCCCGACCCGCCAGGGTCTCTCGTGTCATTCTGTGGCGGTCTCGAGCCGTGCGTCGGCTTTGTGCCGCAGCCACGGGACTCTCCGTCGCCGATACCCCGAGCAGCCCACAAAAGGCCCCGGCTCAAGCCCAGGGCCAAAAGCAAGGCTTGAACA